GTTCTATGATCTCGGAGAAAGTCTGAATATCATTTTCATACATGCTGAGAGGATGAGAAGAGTTCAAGGAATCCACTTGAAAGGCGGACTGGATTTCTCTGAGAACAATTAGATCTTTCTGAAAACACAAATGAACAATATCATCAGAGGAGGTTGGAGTTTTAATTTAATCATGTTATTCCCATTATAGTTGTCGACAAATAAAAACAAAATAAACAAAAACATACCAAGTCCCAGTTAGCAGCTTCCACCCCAATGTATGACATATACGTCGAAAATGCTTCATTCAGCCACAGGTCATTCCACCAGCGCATAGTGACAAGGTTTCCAAACCACTGAAATTAAGCACAATTCAAATTATTTTAATTCAATACAAACAATACAAACAAATTATTTATTTAAAGATTTATGATTTAGGGGTTCTCAACCCCTAGTTCTAGTGCATTATCTAAATATACTGTATGTTCTATATATATATATATATATATGTATACACAGTATATATATATTTAGGTTGTTATACTGCAATTAACAATGCCATTCAATGAAATATGAAGCCCAATGTAAACTTTAGTCAGTGATGATTTATGCAATAGGATATTAAGGTTATGAATAACTTTACCTGATGTGCCAGACCATGAGCAATCTGAGTGGCCACCCGTTCTTTGTCAAAGGTTGATCCCGTCTCTTTATCGTACAGCAAACCTGACTCCTGATATGAAATTAACCCCCAGTTTTCCATGACTCCAACACTGAAATCTGGCAGTGCAATCTGATCTGTAATAAAACAAATTTTGCTTGTGATCCTCCATGTCTTTAATATGGAACACAGACTCATTTCAGCTTAGTCTGTTTGGAATAGTTCACCCAAAAATGAACGTTGTGTAATGTTGTTTCATACCTAAATTACTTTTTTATTTTAGAACACAAATGATATTTCGTAACACTTTACAAGGTCATTTGTTAACAATGCAATAATTAACATTAACATTCTTAAAGCATTCTTACCCTTTGTTAATGTTTGTTAAAAACAATGTTCAACAGATACAACTTTTGATCTTAACAATACATTTATGTTTAATTGACATTTACTAAGATTAATAAATGCTGTAGACGTATTACTCACTGTTAGTTAATGTTAACTAATGTAGTTAGTTTATGTTAACAAATTAAACCTTATTGTAAAGTGTTACCAGTTATTTTTAAGGTCTTTTGTCCGGTCCATACAATATAAAAACTTTCAATAAGTGAACTTCATCCATATGTATTGATGCAAGCAATTAAAATAAACCAAATAATTCAATAGAGCCATTGAAACCTTGCTGTTTTTCCCCTCGACTCACCTAGTTGTTGCAGCGGGTATTTCAATCCAAATTCCTTCTCATAGCGAATCAGAATCGGATGTGTTATTTCAGCTGCATAGTCAGCATGGCCAGCAGCAATAGCCTCTCTATGAGCATATATCTTGGAAACACATCATAATAATAATTTGTGAAATGTAAAAAAACGAAAGAAAGAAAAAAGTCAGCACTGAAGTATCTTAAATATAAATGAAAGCAGCATACATGCATGTATGTCCCAGCAGGTATCGATTTAGATGTAAAATCAGATAAAGTGAAAGCCAATAGATAAGTTGACATGTTGGGGGTCGTTGGAAATTGAGTCACAACCCATTCTTCTCCATGTATTTCTATCGAGTATTCGTCTGAAAAACAGAAATGATATATCGAGCATAAATCCTTTTAAAATAAGCAACAGCTTTACAGTTTGTTGTTTTGAAATTTATTGTTGTCTGTATTAGAGACTGTATTTAAGAGTAAATATTTGAAGAGTTCAGATGCAAAAGCCTCTAAGTGCCATTTGAAATTTTCTTCTAGAATAATAATTTTTATCAAGCTTGTAAATTTAAGTTCAGTGATTTCACTTAAATGGCAATGATAATTACCTATTAATTGTTATTTAAGTGAAATTACTGAACTTAAATATACAAGTTTGATAAAAATCATCATTAAAGAAGAAAATTTAAAATGGCATTTAGAGGCTTTTGCATCTGAACTCTTCATTTATACTTTTAAAAATAAAGGTTCTTCATCTATAGATTAAGAACCTTTATTTTTAAAAGTGTAAATATTTAGTCATAAATACTTAAATACAACAATTTTAGTAAATTGAAAATTGTTCTTCTAAGAATTTTTTTGTTAACTTTACTTCTCCAATAATCTCCAATAATTTGTTGAACTTACTTAAAATTTCTTAGTAATCTGTACTGTTTGCATGCTATGCCTTTGTTACTCAGAAAAACCTTGTAAACATTACTTGACTGGTTTGAGTACCATTTTTTTATTATATATATAAAGATTTAATTAATTGACCATTACAATTTTTTTTAGCTGTATCTTGTAAGTATAACCCCAATAACAATAGCAACTAAAATTGTAAATTGTAATGGTAAAATAAAGCCAAAAATAGAAAAACAAAACAGTGTAAAAAAATATTGTTGGTTTAAATTAAAAAATAAGTAACCTGGTTGCCTTAAAATTGTAAGTTCATTGAAATGGAAAAATGTAGTTAATACAATGAAAGAGATTGATTTAATCATCAGAAACTTAAAATATTATGTTATCTGAACTACATAAATTATCTAAGTTGATTTGACTGAACTTAAATGGATTAAGTAAGATTAACTTGATGCAATTAAGTTATGCTTACTTAATGAAATTGAGGCAATGAGTTTGCATAACAAAATTAAGTAAACTGAACATATATGGTTCCATGAAGAAACTTTAAAATCCACGGAACGTTTTCATACCACAAAAAAAAGTTAAAAAAACGTATTTTTATACTGTACACTGAAAGATTCTCTGGGGAACTATTCTATGGAGCTGTTGCGAAAACCCCACTTTTTAAAGCTTTATTTTTAAGCAAGTATATATATATTATATATCAAATATGTTCTTTCATGTAATTTTGACTTTGTTAAGCCTGACAAGTTAGGACGCTAACCTCCAACTCCATTGGAGAGGGCTTTAATTCCAGGTCTGTGGATAATAGTAATCTTAAACGTAGCCTTCAGAGCTGGCTCATCAAAGCACGGAAATACTCTCCTCGCGTCTGTGGGTTTCAACAGGCTGGTGGCGAGGAATCTGTTTGTGAAGAAGTATTTATGCAAATTAAACAGTAAATGTACATAATGGTGATTTCATACAAACAAAAAAAAACTCAAGAGGCTTCTCGCAATGAACAATTTACCAAACAAAATAAATGTTTTAAACTAGTTATGTGACCAAATACATACAAATATATATCTTAGTCTGAAATAGCACATTCACATTTTGTCAGTCAATGAATGTTCTTAGGTGTTTTTAACCGAACTGAAAAGAGACATTTGTAAGACAAAAATATAAAATATAATTGTATATATATGATTAAAAGAAACTAGATCTTTACCTCTCTTCATCCTCCTCATCCTCGTCTTTACTCTTCTCAGTGTACCGGTTCACATACAACCCATTCAAGTTTTCAAAAAGTTCCCCTTCGAAGTTGGTAAAAAGATGATAGTAGGTCCCATTTCCAGATAACTTGCCCTCGAGTTGGATCTCGAGAAAATTACTTGCATTGTAATGAATTGTATAACTGCTCTTTAATATTTCATTTGAATCAGATTTCACTTCCACATTCGTCACATTTAGGTTGTGAACATGAAGAAAGATGGTTTTGGAGTCTTTCATACACTTAAACTTTACAGTTGAGTTCCCCGTGAAAAAGAAGGATTGGTTTGTGTAGTTGTTAGTTATCGCTCCATAAAAGTACGGTTGGAGGACGACGTTGTAGCTCTCAGGGATCAAATAGTCGAAGAGTCTGAGATTCGTAGGAAGATCTGTTGGAATGACCTGAGGTTTAGTTGGAGTAGGTGGAACCAGTGGAGGATTACCCTCTATTTCAAGTTGGAACATCACTACCATCAACACTAAACCGCAAACAGAAGAAACCGTGATGACCCCAATGCCGACAGCCACGGCCTTAGAAATGCCAGTTGCTTTGGCCATTTCTGATCCTTCTGAGAAACCTCCAAGAGTGAAGTGAGCTAAGGGAACTTGCTGAGCGTTTTTAGACTCTGTACCCTCTCACGGATCTTGACAATATATCAATTGGGACGTCAAGCAGCACTACCACGCCTATCAAGGTTACATATTAACTAGCATGAGCCAGAAACACACAAACATGACTGTATTTGACATGTAGTGCGTTACATCGCTCTTTGTCCCACATCTGGAATCAGTTATAATATCTGTTGTGCAGTCAAAGGTCAGCAAAAACACATAAGAGAGTTTTGATGCAGAGAAAAGAGATGTGCATTCTGAAAGTAAATGTACTTAATCACTGGAACAGCGCGGAGAAGTCCCATCCGGATCCTCTTGAGTCCATCTTATGTTCTGCCATCCAGCTGTTTGGGACCCCGGCAGAGGTGACAGCTGCCTTCTGCCCAGAAACTTCTCTGATTACTCACTGAACAAAACAAACAAAACATCAATGATGAATTTCTCAGCATTTCCTACTACTAAAGTGTGTCAGTTTGTCTTTAAATTTAATTTGGAGTGTGTTGTTAGGAGAGGAGACTTTTTGTTTTGTTTAACTCAACCCTACCTTCCTAGTTTTAATCTAAATGTCTTTAAAATCAGCAGATGGTAATGTAGATGAATCTACTTTTTAGATCTAGATGGATGAATGGATAGATAGAAAACTGTCACTCTTTCAAATACTTTAAATATCTATTTATATTCATTTAAAATTCAAATTATTGTCTATTTCGTTTGTGTCTGGCTCTTTTAAACAATAAAATGGACTAAATAATGATTATAAATTATCTAAAAAACAATCCTACAAATATAAAAAATAAAAAAACACTTATACAACAACATAAAACATTGTTGCCCCTCACCAATGGAACCAATTGCCTCTGGACAGCTGCGTTTTAAACAATCAAAACAAAACTAATGTTATTTAGTAAAATCTTATCAATTTATTGTAGCTGTTTGAGTTCCAGCAAGTACACAGAATTGATTTATCACTGCACCGAAAAGAAAAGGGTATGGTGGTGCCATCCTGTGGATGAGCATAAAGTACTGCACACACACATCACATTTCATGCACTGGGGGGGGGGGGGGGATTGGTGGACAGAACTTCTATGCACATGACATACATTATTATACGAGTTATCTATTCGTTTTTGGGGCTAAAGACAATATTTTCATTCCATAAAATCAAAGCAAAACTTACTTCATTAAAGGCACATTATATGAATGCTTGGCTTGAATGCTGATCTGATCTTAATCAACATGCCTTTTCATTGGTCAGCTAATACCTCATAACGTAAAGAATGTATAAGCAATTCAAGTTTTACTCTTTAGAAAGCCCTAAACTCAAGATTGTACTTTTAATTGTATTATAATACATTTGCCCCAAATATGGATATAAACTCTAGAACGCAAAACAATACATTTTCACTCATGTGAAAATCCTTAAAAACACTCAATAACAGGCTCGAACTAAAATAAAATCAATCTATTTCAATTCCAGTTTATGAAAGTGAGATTAAAATTAAATCGTCAGAAGAGGAAAAAGTTGTCTGAAATATAGATTATCGGGAATGTCATAAATTTTGGTCACAGATTACTGAAAACACTGAAGTACAATCTAGTTCAGGACATAGATTCACACAAATAAAGGCAAAAAATATATATTTTTGATGATTCCTAAACTGAAACACACAAGGAATTAAATGTTTTAAGGAATTAAGAGTTCCATTGCTGCAATCTGCTTTATCCTACTTTGCACAATAGAACAATTTTCCTGACTTCACATAAGCTCCTAAAAAATGCACTGGATCATAAACCTTCATAGCACACGTTTAGGCATAATTGTAAGGTTATTAAATGCACATATATTGAAACTTAATCCAGTTATTTGCTAGCAAGGTGTGGCTGATGTCTAATTAAATTATAGCATAAAATAATTTTCATTAGAGAGGATCAGAATTATTATCTGATTATATTTTTGGTCCATCTAATGTTTTTCCTTCCGGACGTGGCCGTGATTGTTTTAAGATTCGGCTTCACCAGAGCCAACTGTCTAAATGCTGAAGGCAATAGCAAGACTGCTGGAGGATTGACGTCAGCTCTCTGTAACTTTGCTCTTTCCAGTTGGGAAGGAGTCTTTCATTGTTAAGCGCCTGAAGCTTTGGCGTTCCCTCACGCAAGACCTGATACAAGCAGGGCCATCGGCTCTGTATCTGTAGTCGAGTCCTGCGGTCCAGAGTAATGCCCCGAACGATCTTCTTCGCCCGCAGCTCTCGCAGCGCTGGAAGGTTTAGGCAGGAGAAGACCAGACCGCGACTGGGCGACACATCCAAGAACTCAAGCGAAAGGGATTCAAGGGTGTACGAGATGCCTAAATTTCGCAGAGGTACAAGAACATGGAGCGTCAGGGACTTTAGATTAGGGAGCGATTTCGTCAGTGTCTGTAAAGTGTTCGGGCTGACCCCTTTGAATACCCAAAAGTACTTCAGTTCTAAGATACGAAGGTGTTGAAACTGAGTGATCAGCGTAACTGACGTTTCGGACCAGTCGAAGTGCAGCCGCATTTTGCTTATCCTGGGACAGCTGTGGACGAGTCTGGTGAGGAGAAACTGGAAGTTATTGACTTGGTCCATCTTGGTAATATTGTCTTGATGAGAGCTAGAACTGGTGTGAACACGGAGGTCGAGGGGCTCCAGCAGCGTAAATGTCCAGTTTAAATCTAAATGACTGAGATCACGGCAATGGACGTTCTCTAGAAGGTGTGACAGGAGCTCTCCCCATTTATTGCACAGGTCCCCTAGATCAAAACTGGCCTTCAGAGTGAGCAAACTAGCCCCACGGGATATAAGATGATGGGTGTAATGGTGAACCCAAGCTTTCCAGCGCTCAAACTCTCTGTTGGAAACTAGCAGACCCTCCTGGCCCAGGTGAAACACCCCACGGCGAGAATAGTCCGCAACTCTCCAGAGCTTCCCGGAGCGCACTAAGCAACTCCAGCTTGCACACACAAGGGCCGAGTTGCACTTGTCCACCTCACTGAGGAATGAGAGCACATGGAGCTGGCACTCCATGGGTAGGGAGTTGAAAGGGAAGTAATCTTCATCACCTTTAACCCTTCGTCTTGTGTTAATGGGAACAAGGGCTCTCTTCCGTTGAGGCATGTTTCTCAGTGCTTGGTTAAATCTTCAAGATCATCCTTTTGTCTTGCTCTCTCACCGAGAGACGTTTGACTGCACCTAACATAAAACAAAATGCTATTTATAATGTGCATCTCAACAGTACAATTTATATCCAAAGATCAGTTCTGACTGACTGTTATCTCTAGCACCACTGTAATTGTTTCAATTCAATTCGATTCGTGAAAGAAACCGTTCATAAAATTCATAAAACGTATGCAATGAAAAAACATGTTGACGTTTGCAAGTTTTACGATTTACATGTTTTAAATTAAATTGGAAAACATAATATATGTGGAAACACTTAAGCTAGTGATAACTTACCTTTGACATACTAACGTTAGCACATTCCTGAGGTGTGACGTTAATATTAAACGCAAAGACAACTCTGCTGTGTTTGCTAAGCTTTTGGACGAATTAAGGCATGTAAGTTATTTTATTGTATTTTTTTTTTTTTTTCCAAACTATGTAAAATAGTTTTATAGACCGCTAGTAGCGCGTTGTTAGCCTGTTACTGCGGCCTGACATATTTTAGCGATAGATGTAAAACTAAACTGTTAGTTCGCTCAATAGAATAATTGAACTCAAACTATCGTGTCAGTCTGACTGAGCTCTAAATTAAAAAAGAACCCTTTAATTAGTTAGAATTAGTCAGGACTTTAGAGCAAACTAAGAAGCTAAGCTGTGCTGAGAATCCCTTTGAGGGGCTGTTGTTTTTCCTCGGCGAGTGACATCATCAATGTGCGTGCTACAGGCTTGGGTGTTTATGGCTGATCCGGGAACAGCTCTGTAAATGTTCTCCAAATATAGTTAAAACAGGTTTTAGATTTAAAAAACTGACTTGAGGACAGGCTCAACATGCTTTTCGACTTCTGCTGTCATGAGTTCAGTATAAAGCGTCGATAGCGGTATTTCGTCACATTTCTCCATCACTATTTTTTAATATCTCACGCACGCTAATGGATATTATTAATAAAATAATCATGTCAGAAATATAATTTACAGCGTGTATCTGGCAACGTTATGATGATACAGCATAGAAATCGGTGAGTCGGTTCTTTCGAACAGGTTTTTAAAAAGCGTGCTCAATGTATTGTAATAAAGATTCAAAGACTATTTTTCATTCACATAATAAGAAAGCAATTAGACTCCGTGTCTATGTGTGAGCGCTAGAATAGGCTTATATTTTGTGATGGAAAGTCAGGCTCTTTTCAAAGATTCGGCTCTTTTGGCTCGGCTCCCTTACATGAGCCGGCTCTTACGGCTCCCAAAATGACTCTTCATACTAGTAACTCGGACTTTCATTTTAGCATAATTTAGCTATTGTAAATTATTTTTGAGTTGGTAAGCAATTTTTTAGTGTTTTAATAAAAGCTTTATATTTATTTATTTTTTTTTCGTTTAAAAAATACACAGTTATTTAACATTTCAATATCAGATGCCTCAGCTTGGATTTTTTTCATGTTTTTGAGAAGTCTCCAATATCATTGAAATGCAGCCAGATGCTGCTTCTTTTTCGGTTTTCGCTCATTTCTTTACTTTCATCCAACGCTACCACTACACTCGCTATCTACGGAGCATGTGTCCCCCTTCCTTTCACATAATGGTATGATCCTAGTCTGTCCGCCCATGTGATTGGCCGCATGGTGTGCCCATCCAAAAAAGAGGTCCCGCGTCTGAAGACTCGGCTCTCCCCGAATAGGAGTCGGCTCTTCTCGTTCGCTACAAAGATTCGGCTCTTAGAGGCGGCTCGTTCGCGAACGACATATGAATAATATAATAAGTGTACCACCTTGGCTGTATGTTTTTCTCATAGGCTATTTTGATATAGGCCCAGTCCACCATTGTCCCGTTTGTTTGAAGTGTAATAAAAAAATAAAAAAATAAATAAAAAATACATTCTAATACATGCAGATAGAGGTGAATTCAGGTATGGGACACATTTTGACATAAGATCACTTTAAAAATGTTCCAATTATCCAGAACGAACTCTAACTCTTTAATCCTTTTTTGCTCTAGTTGTATTTTGTATTTGTTGACATTTCTATCTACACTTACTTTTCAATTTGATTTATGAAAGAAATCATTTAGACCGGGTTTGTGATCCGGATCATGATTAATAGTGTTTTGTTTACGTCGCTGGCATCTTAAGTAGGCCTAGGTTTTTTCAGAATCCAACATAACTACTTTTCTTCTTCTTTTTCATCTTAAAAAAAAGGTTGTTTATCACACTGACTTGAGTAGAATAATCTTAACAAGATATTGATATGAAAATATATTCCAGAAAACATCCCATTCTTTGTTATCAACAACATGAAGTGCATTAGGATAAATTTGACATTACTTCAGGTTTTCCCAGATGGGGGTTCGTGATGGAACTGCAGGGGTTCCGGGGGTTAATTCAAAGCTATTAGAGGAGTAGTTCACTTTTGAAAAAAACTTTTGCTGATAATTTACTCACCCCCATTTCATCCAAGATGTCCATGTCTTTCCTTCTTCAGTCGAAAAGAAATTAAGGTTTTTGATGAAAACATTCCAGCATTTTTCTCCATATAATGCACTTCAGTGGGAACCAAACGGTTCAAGGTCCAAAAGACACTTTCATTACAAACTGAAAACTGTTCAAAGGGCTTTAAACGATTCCAGACGATGAATAAGGGTCTTATATTTACATATTTTAGAAAATTTTACAATACAAAACAGATTAGAGAGACACTTTATTTTCTAAACGATTATATAAGTGTAGCCTGCGGTTGTATTTATTTATTTTTTTTGAGTGTGTGCACAAGAATACTTTGTTTTTCACTATTCCATATAACTGCACAAATGATTAATTCTAGGGGTTGCGAGATGAAAAGTTAGAGCAGAAAAGTGTGAATTTGTGAGAGGCTATGGTGCTGTGGGATGCTGTTGCTGCTCTACGGAAACACAAGCGCACTGATCGAGCCGCAAGTGCACATTTAAAGGGGTACAACAACAACGCTGTCTTTGTATACATCTGAGTTTGTCGAGGCGTTTATAGGTCTTGATCAACATCTAGCCACAATTTCTTTGTGCGACAGTATTATACGGACAGTTTGGGAGGTTGAAAGAAGCAGTGAGCGTCAAAGTAGGGCCGGTAAATCAAAAATTTTGGGTCTATTTCTTTCTGAGGCGGCTCGGTTGTCCTGTCGTCTCTGTTGATCTGGAAACGGCCGCCATCTTGAATTTTAATGCAAAAATTTCGGACAATCTTTCGGCAATATGTCATTTTTGGATTGCATTGGACTTTGGTGATGGACAAGCTTTGACGCAGAAGGCGGAAAACGTGAGTATTTAAAGTACTGCGTGAATATGGTAACCGAGATCACTCCTGCTCAGGGCTTTTCCGGGTGTCGCCTAGCAATCTCGCAGTTAGCTGCATATTAGGCCCTGTGTGATACTCCCATTATTATCGTTTAAAGTTAACGTCTAAAAAATATTCACTAGAATAAAACTTACGGGACGTAATCATACTCTTATTTTGATTATTCTGTACTGGAATATCCACCAGGAACTCTGCTATAGATATTTTGCCCTGCCGGTTTGGCAAGTCTCATTGTTTGGTTAGCTCGATGCTAAGCTAGTTAGCATTCATAGAATGTTTACGTTCTCCGGCAATGGAAGAGGTTTAGCCGCACAAAAATCGAATTAACACTTTAAAGTCATTATATTACCCTCAACCTTGCGTTTCGGTTCAATATAGCAGTATTTTGGGCCATAAACTTCAATCGGTGTGTTACTGTGGTTTGTGTTGGGATTTAAATATACACCGACGCATACATTGGAGTGTTTTAACCACGGCAGAGAAGTGCACTGATGTAAGTTATCAACTAAATTATATGTAAACCATCGATTATAGGAATTATTGGTCGACGTGACAGTATTTACAAGGCTATCGCAATTGTGAATTGTAGATTTGTAGTTTATTTCAAGGCAGCTTTTGTTATTTCCTACTACAGCCAGGGGGTGGCGCTCTATACTAAAGAATATTTGAAAAGTAATCAATAGCTCAAACAACACTTCAGATAGACTTTTTAAACGAACTCCATTGTGATCATGAAAGCAACCACTACTATTTGTGTTGTAATTATGTTTGACTAACAAATGCTGACTTTGACAATTTTAAAAATAAATGAATATGTTAATAAGCATATTATATTAATAATCTGTTATTTTATCTAGGTGAAGTAACATCTGAAGAAACTAGTTTGATTCAGAGTACCCTGGCAGATAAGACGACAGATCAGGCTTCAGCCCAGTTGTTTCTGCTGTCTCCTTGTTGAATGGTTTCTCACAAGCACACAGAAGCTCAATGCGCCTTCTCCAGAACGCCAGCTGGTATGAAGTAGATGGGAGAATCCAAGAACATGGTGCTGAATGGCAGGAGACATGGCAGCAAGTTCTCCAGTAATCAGCCCGTAAGCAAGTCCAGGCTGCAAAACACACAGAGATCCCATCTTCGTCAAAGCAAGGGCTCCCCAAGTGGCAGAAGATGCAGTCGACGTAAGTTCCTTGCAAGCCATCACATGGATTACTTGTTTTTTTCCAACTCAATTAACTACTTATGCATTATCTTTATCCAGTCCTTGATGCTTATTAATATTCAAACAGGTTGTGGTGGGGCGCCCCCGGAGGCAGAAAGGCGCCATGTCCCCTCATCGGGAATGACTGCCAAGGAGCTGTGTGAATATGATGATCTGAGCACTAGTTTGATCCTGGATCCTTACCTTGGCTTCCAGACCCACAAGATGAATACCAGGTTTGTGTTTCTAGCTAGGTTCGTTTTCAGGGTCAGCAGTCATTAAGCTTGGCATTCATGTTGATGTGATGCTCCTTTTTAGGTTTCGGCCAATCAAAGGTCGGCAAGGGGAGCTGAGGGAGATCATTGAGCGTTTTAAGAAGCATGACAACCTGGAGAAAGCTTTTCAGGCTCTGACCTCTGGTGATTGGACGAGACATCATTTCCTTAACAAGACCAAGTCCCAGGAGAAGCTCTTCAAAGCACATGTAAATCATATATTTGGAAAGATCTCAATTCATGATTTATACTACGTTGATGATCATTTAACAACGTTTCTTTTCCTCTCATATAATATTAGTATGTGTAGATAATTTCAATTGTTTATACATATTCGTATTAAATGCAATTAGTGTTGTCAAAATCATCAATATTTCGATATGAATCGATACTGAAAAATCGGAAAACGCTTCCAATACTCATTTTCTGTAGTATTGATACCGCTGCTTGTTCTTCTTTCCGACAGCGAATTGACAGTTTGACACACCACCGCTTCCTCTCACTCACTCGTCTCATCCACTCCTGCGCTTAAACGTTCAAACGCATACAAAATTGTCAAAATGCCCGACTCACTGAGTATTATAAGAGTAAGTGGTTGAAGAAACGCACGTTATGTAACAGTATATTAGAAATGTGCATAAGCTCTTAAAGTGACAACAGCCTAATAAACCCGCTGATGTCTGTCATGTTAGTCAAAACTTTTGTAACTTTAATTGTTATCATCAATCTGTATTTAAATTTTACAATAAAAACTATCCAGTGTTATTTTACATTTGATTACTCTCATTTCTGTAGTATTTCTTACTTGAATACTACTGTTAGACCCCCCTGAAAAACATTTCATTTGCCTCTTTATTGTATTGTATTTATTTGTGCTATTATTTGCAATTGTTAATTTGTTCTG